GGGGGGGGGGGGGGGGGGGGGGGGGGGGAGTTCAGAGAACGAGCATACCCAGACTTTGCTGCCCTTTGGAAAACACTGTAAATAACCATTGCTTTTTATTTCCATGCCTGTTTAAAGAGCTGGGTATTGTGTTGGCTTGACTTTCTTTCCAGTGTGTTCTTCTGTGTGGGGGGAGGGGCGGGGGGGGGGGGGGGGGGGGGGGGGTAGAAACAGGGAGGGAGACTTTGTGGGAAACAGCAGTCTCTGCATTGTACATGAATACATTTAATAAAACGACTAGTTTGAAGGTTTTGATATTCTTATTGTAAATAAGCCCTCCCACAGGTGTCTGGCAGGTGTGCAAGGCTGCCTTCCCTCCCTCGCTTTGCAGAGTAGAATTCGAGCCAGAGGCTCCCTCACTGCCCACCGGCCGGCTGGAGAAGACCTGCAGAGGCAAGAAGTGGCTGCGATGCAAGGGGGGGGGCAGGGGGGAGGGGGAGCAGAGACCCAGCCCAGGAGGAAGACGCCTGGCCAGCCCACCACCACCACAAGATCCACAGACACGTTTCTCCCAAGGGAAGTTTAGACTGTTCTGATTTGTGCATATTGTCTATAGTTTGGAAGGGGGCTTAGAAAGGGCGCCATTTACAGAGCGAAGCGAGGCACCTTCGAGCAGAACTTCCATCGCCTGCCTTCCGTTATTTTTGTACTGTATACTAATAAAGTGTTCTTGACCTGGTGTGGCCTCCGTTCCTAGAGCCCGGGGGATGGCAGTCCTTTCGCCCTGGACTGCTGAGGTTGGTCATCAGGATGTCCAGGGATTGATCCTATGTGTGCAGGTCAATTGCGGCTGTGCTTTGTGGTCGGATGTTGCAATAACTTGAATCATTTTCTTCCCCAGCCTCTAAGGACTCTGGATTTAGGTCCAAAATGCAGGCCAGCTCGCTGGACTCTCGGTCTCCTCTTCCTTAGCCTTTTTCTGTTTCAACTATGTTGCTGTTATTTATTTTTATATATTTATTAAAAGCTGTCACTTTTATCCTTAAAAACAAATACATGATGGGCTAGAAGGGACCTGCTGCTCGGTTCTTGGGTGGAGGGCAAGCAAAGCCTGCCAAAACAAACAAACAAACCCGTAAGACGGTTATAACACATTGAATGAGTGAGAAAAATGTGGGTTGCAAGCCGCTACCACGTCCATCTGCTTCCAAGTGCCAGGAATGAGGTGGGGTGTGTGGGAGGTATTGGGCACACAGTTGGGTTGCAGTTGTGTGTCTGGCTTGTTACGGTGTGTATATTTGGGCCTTTATGGAGGAGTCGGTCTGGGGCCAATGGGGCTTCAGACGGGAAAGAGGCACTTGATTTACTGTAATTGGGGCTGTGGCAGGAAGGCAAATCACTTACCTAAACCTAGATCTCCAACACAATGGACCCATATTCCCAGTCCAAGGCCGAGAAATCGCCTCAAGAGAGGTGGAGTGCGTTGTGACTTTTCGCCAGTCCTTTTGGGTGTTGAGAGCTGCTTGCGGAGATTCTGCTCTGGAGCTGCAGATTCCACCCAGGCGTGTTATGCAGATACGTCACATGCAAACATGTAGCCCTGCACTCTTGGTGGCCGTCCTTGGATGGCTTTGGGGGATCCAGGGATTCCTCTTAGGAGGGTGGGAGCGCTGGGTCCCTTTCCCGTGCTCCCCCCCCCCAATAGCAACATCCAGTTGTACTTGCTGAGCAAGAGACGGTACCTGGAATATGGAAGCCGCCCATAGAATTTTCCCGCTCCTCGTAGTCAAGGTGTAGCTCAAGTTGCTTGTAGAAAACACTCAAAAAAGTGCAACCCCTTTGAGGACAGGTGAGGAAGCAGCAGGGTCTCCACTGCATTTCCTCGAGTCGGTGCTTTTTCTTCAACCGAGGTGTTCCCAGGGCCCCGGTTCATTTGGGATCGGCCACCGCTGCGCTTGGGCTGCTTTTGCTAATACGGGAAGACTGCGGGACTTGGCCAATTTTGCCCAGGAGAGTCAGGCACTGGCCAAATACTGTATGAGAAAATCTCGTTCCTAGCAGCCTCGGACGGCAGAACCAAGTGACAAAAGAGCCTTCAATTTTGGGCATGGAATTGACTTAAGAATGGGAAACGGGTCCTAGGACTGGTGATCGGGCTAGGATGCAACCAGGATCCAGCATGTCTGGAGATTATCAGTCCTCCAGGTCATGATTGTCCCAAAGGTGCTTTTCCAAAGGCGACTGGACTTTCTTGGTTTCTTTCCCTGAAAAGCTTATCCAAGAAGCTTCTTCAGTTCTTCGTTGAAGAACTGAACTTCACTGAAGAAGCTTCTTGGATGGGAAGTAGAATATTTTCAGGGAAAGAAACCAAGAAAGTCCAGTTGCCTTTGGAAAAGCACCTTTGAGACAGGATCCAGGATCTTAGGGGAGGCCTGCTTTGTTGCTTGGCCTTTATTTTCCACCTTAGAGTGAGCAAAGCCAGGAGGCTGGTGGCTGTTAATGCTTTTGGCCATGCCCTCCTCAGCTTCCTTGAAGACGGGCTCTAGAAAGCTGGCCAAGACTTAAAAGTGCCACCTAACTTGTAAACTGGCTGAGCACATTTAACTTCGAACCCTCTGTGTTCAAGCTTTGTTAAGCTGTATTTCTGTGGCTGCTTCCATTTGGATTGGCCAAAGACAGGTTCCCTGGGGGAGGTCAAAATAATTCTGCTGCTTCCAGAGAGTTGCTATAAGGTGCAAAAGTCCAGTGAGCAAAGCAAATGGGTCTTCTGTTGATGCCATTAGCTGACCTGGGTTAGTTTTAAGAGGGTGAGTGTTTTTCTTAATGTGTTGTGGGAATGCAGCCTGGGTTCACATTAGCTGAAGGGGGAACCTATACCAAAGTGTGCGAATTGAAAACCTTGGAATTGGAAGAGAACCAAGGAAAAAGCCTTCTGGAAGTTGGGAGAAATCCCAGGGCAATGTTAGGCTTGCTTGGTGGGACCAGGCCGTGCGGCATGTAGGCTGGAGTTGGGCGTGAATGCATGCCCAAAGCCCTTGACTGCCCTCTGCAGATTTGGGGGCTTGTGGGTGAGAAGAAGCAAAGGGCTCCTTTTTAGAGGTTGACAAATGGGGTTCAAGGCAAGGATTGTTAATGGGGCATGGGGGAAAGTCGCTGAGGGGCTTCCTTTTGTCTATGTTGCCGGGGGGGGGGGGGGGGGGGGAGGGGGGGCCTTTTGGGGGTGGCTGGGGGGGGGGGGGGGGGATGAGAAGTGAGGCCTTGTGGCTGTGCCTTGAGATGCTGAGTTGGGATCTGTGATGGAGGCGCTTTGGGAATTGCTTGGTTGTGACTTGGCTCGCCGAGTTTTCGTGATTGCTACCAATCCAGGGCTGCAATGTAATTAGCTTGATTTTGTGTAATCCCTGGTTCAAATATGTGATGTGTGAGTGGGAAGACCTAGCAGACTCCATCCACATCTACCTTGGCTTGCCTTTTTTCTCTTGCACCATCTCCTTGGATTGTGTGAATGGATTCGTAATGCCAACAGGATCTCTGCTTCATGTCAAGGCTATCATTCTTGGGTCTGCTGGTGCAAGTTAGCTCTGCGTTCTCCCCCCCCCCCCCCCCTAGTTTTATTGTTTCCCTCATATTAAAGGCATCTGATTATTACTTTGTTTTATGTCCATTTGCGATTACCAGTTTACAGTGAATAAGGGAAGGAAGGTGCTGTTTTGATGGTTTCTAGTGTCACTTTGCAAAGGTCCATTGAAGGAACTCTGCTGGTCAACTCTGTGACCAGGAGTAAACTGGTGACTCAGTGGAGGGACTGATTCACCTCACTGATTTTGTTTTCTTCTCTTATTTATCCATTTATTTAGAAAATCGTTTGGGCATCTAAGGCCTGGGCCCCAAGAATGCCATTGTAATGCCCCCAGCAGGCATGAGATCAGGTGGACAGTGGCTTTGTCAGGCGTAAAGGAGAAAGCAAGACAATAAGAAGCCAGCATTGATAGGGCTGAAAGCTGACGGTTGCATCTGGTGGAGGTCAAGAGAGGGAGGGGCATTGTTCCTTGACTTTTAATGCCCCCTCCTCAAAAGGGGGGGGCGAGTCAAAGGGGCACACGGCCTTCCCTTTGCCTTTTGCAGCAGTTGGCAAGATCCCAATGGAAGGCACTTTATGGTAAATAAGTTAAAAGCACATTCGGGGCTGCGTTGAGGGAGTCACAAATTGCCTAAAGATACATTTGTGGGGGTTTTTTTTGAGGGTGGGGGGCGGGAGAGCGGTCGCTATCGCTCCAAATGAAGCCGGAACGTTCGTTTCCTCCGGTTTTTGTTTCAGGAGGGGAAAGAAAACAACGGCGTCCCTCCTTCCGGGGCTGGCGTGCGCGAGAGCCTATTGGCCGGCCGCGCAAACCAATCCGCGCTCTCTTCCTCTTCGCGCCGCTTGGGCCACGCCCACCCGCTCCCTGGCTTCGCGTGTCCGGGTCGCCCCGGGTGTTTGTTTTTTTTGCACGTGGGAACGCGGGTTGGGACGCGGGTTCCCCAAAAGATGCGGCTCCTTCGCGTCTGGAAGAAGATCTGGGCGAGGAGGGGCGGCCCACGCCGACAATACACGGTCTGCTGCCTTCTTGTATTTCGGGGCGTCTCGGCTCTTTTGCCTGTTAGAGATTCAAGGGCGTCTCTCGGGTCGCTGCTTAGGGCCCCCCCGCCCTCACCTGCTTCTTTTAGGAGGTGGCAGGCGGGCATTCAACCGGGAAGGCTGGCCCTGCAGGCTGCCCGGATGTTTAAGTGCCGCTCCTTGCTTGTGCGGGCAGGCAGGCAGGCTCAGGGCTGCCCAGGAAGGCAGGTTTTCGGAGGGAGGGTTGGCGGTTGGCAGCTTCCCGTCTTATCCCGATTTTGTGCCCGGTTCGCCTCTCCGTCTTCTGAGCCACGCTGTATCTCTCTGTCTTTCCCGCCCCGGAGTCTAACGGTGCTGCTCTCTCCTTCCCTCCTCAGACAGCGGCTCTTCCGTCCCAAGTTGCCGAGCGCCTGGCGTTATACCAGCGGCTGAAGGCTGCGGCAGACGAGCGCCAAGCTGAGCAAAGCCTCCGGGGGAAGCGCCCAATCTTGGTTTCCTTGCCAGGCGGCCGAAGCGTCGAGTGCGAATCCTGGACGACCACCCCTTATCGGCTGGCCTTGCAGATCAGGTGACTCTTAAGCCCCCCAAGCAGCTCTTTGCAAAACGTTTCCTAAAAATAGATCCCCCGGGATACTTTTTTCTCACGGAGAGGCATTTATTGATTGCAGGAAAATGGTTTTTTTTTTTAATGGTTCATTGATCAAAATGAATCTAAACTCTCTTTTGTCCCCCAGCCAGAGTCTGGCGGAGACCGTGGTAACGGCACGGGTGAACGGAGGCCTTTATGACTTGGATCGTCCTCTGGAGGGTGACGCCACTGTGGAATTTTTGGGGTTTGATTCTCAGGCCGGACAAGAGGTGAGGAGCAAGGAAGGGGCACATTTCTTTGGGAAAGAGGAAAGTGGGTGGGAGTTGCAGGCTCGGCCTTCAGTTGGCAGCGCTTCAGTCCATCAAGGGCACCTCCCCCCCCTCCCAAGAAAAGTGGGGTCCTTTACTAGCTGAGCTCAGAGGGACAAGAAAGGGGTCAGGGGCCTCCGTTAGATGGAGGTGGCCCATCTTTTGCCCCAGTCTCCTTCCATGCCTCTCTCTTGGCAAGGAATGACTCAGCAGGCCCGACTCTGCTCAGGGCCCCCAGGAAGGCCGGTACCCAACCCTCTCCCTGAATGTCTCCCCAGCTGTTCTGGCATTCCAGCGCCCACCTCCTGGGCGAGGCTGCTGAGCGCTTCTATGGTGCCCTGTTGTGCCGCGGGCCCAGCACCGAGCAGGGCTTCTTCTATGACCTGTATCTGGACGAGGATCGGTAGGTGGTAACCCAGGCGGGGTTTTTGGCGGGACATTAATGGCCCGGGGGGGGGGGGGGGGGGGTCGCTCTGCTCCCTGCGTTCGAGGAGATGTTTTTGCTGTGTTTTCTGCACTGAGCAGGGGCTGGTCTGGATGGCCTCAGGGGTCCCTTCCGGTTGCAGGGTCCTGTAAATAAAAAGAATGGACATTGCATAATCCCTGCTCCTTTGCCGTAGCTGCGGGGTGAACTTGACATGACAGAGTGGGCCAGGGTTTTCCGTCATGTCAGTGCCCCCATTGAGCTGATTCTGGCTCGGGGACCCCTCCTCTGCCCCTCCGGCAGCTCCATCGGGGCCGCTCACATCAGTGAGGAAGCCTGTCGTGCTTCTAACGCCCACTAGGTGTCCTCGCAGGCTGTGCTGTGAGGTGGTTGTGATCTCTCACTTGATTGGGTGGAAGGGCCCGGCAGGTGGCAGCATTGGTGGAGCTAACTTGGAAGGGAGACCACCAGGACATCCCCAAGTGGTAGGCCAGCTCAAGAAGCCACACAAAGACCTTGGAAAAGAGTGGGAGGAACTCTGCCCTTGGTGGCTCCATTTCCCTCAACGCCCCCAATTTTATTACAACCCCTCATCCCCGAATCTTCCCATCCCAGGAAGGTGTCCAGCAAAGACCTCCCTGACTTGGAAGAGCTCTGCAAAGCGACCGTCGCAGCCCAGATCCCTTTTGAACGGCTGGAGGTTTCCCGAGAGGATCTGCTGGAGCTCTTTAAGGTAGGACGACACCGGGATCCCTTCAATGCGGGGTCCCTCCGAGGCTCCAGGGGTGGAAAAGAAAGGCAGCCCCCGGCCCCCTTTCGATGGGTGTCAGCAGAAGTCAAGCTCTGCATTCACCCCTTTTTCTTTTTGGATCCAAGATGGAGGTTCCGGGTCCAACCGCCCAGCGAGGCAGCTCTGCCCATGGGGGGGGGGGGGGGGGGGGGGGGGCTTAAGAAGGCGGCATTTCTGCCCTCCCCGTGGGAGCCCTTTTCTGCTTTAACGGAGAGGCTTCCAAGTGCTTGACGGTGCCAACGGCCGCTGCTTCCCAGCCCAAATTTTGATCCCGCAAATCAACCCGTCTGGGGAGAGGAACAGGTTGCTCAAGAGGCTCTTGACGGCTGACACATTTTTCTTTGAAACGGGAACAAAGCCGCTCGGGTTGCCACAGGATGTGAGGAGGCCTTGAGGTCTAGAAGAGCAGCTTCCTCAAGCAATTCTTAGTCACGGTGCCCATGTTGAGCCTCTGTGGTCAGGAGCAGTATACCTCAAGGGCCAGTCGCCGCAGAGCTGGCTGGCTGTTTGGGGAAACAGGAAGCCAGGCGAAAAAGGCCGATGACCTGAACAAGCAGGATTGTTTACCACCAAAACAGCTTGGCTGCCAACGGTTACGCACAGATGAGCCAGCGTTTTTCACGGGCTTCGCAATTTTATTTACTTGTTCTTTTTTTTTTTTTTTTTACTAATCATCCAAAACTTGTGCTTGGGATGACCGACAGTAATAAAAATAAATACCAAATTATCCCAGAGGGAAGGTAAACCTGTAATTAAAGCACAATCAAAAACAACACAGCCGTTAACTTTAACCTACTTTGGCAGCCGAAATGACCTAATTTTAAAAGTTTGTGTGAATCCCGCACGAGAGCAACCAAGAAAGATCGGGCCTCACCTCTCGTGGCAGGGAGTTCCAAAGCCCCTGGAAACCTATTGCGAGACTTTGAAGTGGAGCGAGGGGGCTAACTCTGATTTATGTCAGTGTCTCTGGTTTTTCCAAAGTGGGAAAAGTTCCCTTAAGAAGCAGCAGGGCCCGGAGCATTTTTAGGCTGTTTTGATCGCTTTTAGACAATTTAGAAGCCAGATTTTCCCCAGAACGAGGCATTCTTCCTTAAACTTGGGGAAGGGTTGATATTTACTCCAGCCACGTTTGCCCTGGACTTTGGCCTCCAGCCGCTTGCCCATCTTGGGAGCTGCGGCTTGGTTTTCAGCCCCGGAGAGAGACGAGGTGCAAGGAGAAAGGGTGCCGGAGGAAGGGTGTGGGCAGCGTGGCCTGGGATGGGAAAGGGAGGAGAGGAAACGGGGGCAGAGGAGCTGGACTCTGAGGGGGTGGAGAGGATTTCTGTTCAACCCTTCATAAGATGAATTAATGGGGAGGGGGTGTAGGGGGTCTCCCCAAATTTCTGGGTCCTTCAGCCGCCCAGGTGGAGATTGGTTCCTCTTCCTGCCTTTCAGCACAACCGATTCAAACTGGATATCATCAGACGGCGGGTGAAGTCTCGGACTGCCACCGTGTACAGGTGACCCTGCGGCAGGTGGGGAGGGATGGGGGTGGCTGCCCAGTGGCCCCCTGCCCAGATCTACAGCCCCAGAGGGTTTCCCCGGGCCTCTTCGGTCTACGTTTGGCTTCTTTTCTGGATTGGCTCGCTTGCTGGAGTTACCTACAGACCAGACCACGCTGCAACCTCGCTCGGGATATCTGGAGACACCACCCCGGCATACACTTTAGCAAACGCTGCCAGGGCGTCACGTACTCACGAGGGCTAGAAACCTGAGCAGGGTTCAGGTGGCTTAAGTTACAAAGACAGCTGTAATTCTCATGAGGTTTGCGGCGGTGGCGTTTATTGCAAGAAACCCTCCAGGAGCCCAGCCAGCCTGCCTTCCGCGTGCCCTGATCCTGCTTCCCCTTTTCTGCGTGTAGATGTGGGACGCTAGTCGACCTCTGCCAGGGCCCCCACCTCCGGCACAGCGGGGAGATCCGAGCCCTGAAACTCCTCAAGGTTTGTGCCCCCCCCCCGACGAAAGGATCCGAGTGGTTCTCCATCACGTGCCGGGCAGGCGGTTCCAGGCCTTTCCGGCCGCAAAGAGCATTTAGTGTACAAGTGTAAAACAAAGTCACCAGGTGGCCAACGCTTTGTGGAAAACCGCCCGGAGAGCTTAAGGCCACTTCAAATGCTTAATAAACGGGAATGCATTTAGTCCAGGAGTCTCCAAACTGGGCCAGTTTAAGGTTGTGGACTTCAACTCCCAGAATTCCTCGACTGGTTATGCACGGCCGGCTGGGGGATTCTGGGAGTTGAAGTCTGCCAGTCTTACAAGGGCCGAGTTTGGAGCCCCCTGGTTTACTCGAGAGCAGCCCCTGGCGGTTGCCAAGAGGCGGGATTTGCCCTCTGCAATCTGTGTAGCCTCTTGTCTCCAGTGAGTTTCCCTGTCCTGGAGCAGAACGATGGGAATTGTAGTCTCTCGGATTTGAGGCTGGGCCTTTCCCCATCCTCCCTGGAGAATGGGGGACTCGGGGGTCCGTGCCATGGGGGTGGGGGGCGGGCAGGCCCCTAGCCGAACTGGCACAGCCCCCAGGAGTGCCCTTCCTTTGCAGAACTCTGCCACCTCCTGGCAAGGAGGCCCCTCCGGAGAGTCCCTGCAGCGCATTTATGGCATCTCCTTCCCCAGCGCCCAGCAGCTGGCCGCCTGGGAGGAGGCCCAGGAAGAGGCTGCCCGGCGGGACCACCGGCGTATCGGAATGGTGGGTGTGCGTGCCGCAGTCCTCGTGCCACAGCCGGCTGCTTTGCAAACTCCAGCGCCTCTTGGACCACCCGGGGTGGTTTTGCCCAGCATCACCATTCCCGCGCAGCTGAAATCTTGGGAGAATGGCTCTTCTGACCTCCTGGACTAGAAACTTGGAGTGGCGCCTTCAGACGGAAAGGGAGATGCTTCCCAAAGCAAGGGGCTCTCCCCGTCTGGGTGCTTGTGGGGGTTGGATTTAGGGTGAAATGGAGAGGAGGGGGCGCAACCTGCTTAGCGGGGGGTCTGTCCTTGCCCGCTGCCTGGGGGGGTGTGTGAATTGGGGAATCGGACCCTCCCGGGCCAACTGCTCCGTCTTTCGGATTCCTCGCCAGGACCAGGAACTGTTCTTTTTCCATCCGCTGAGTCCCGGGAGCTGCTTCTTCCTCCCCAAAGGGACCCACATCTACACAACCCTCATGGACTTCATCAAGGTCTGTGTCTGTCGTGTTGTGTGTGTGTGTGTGGGCACTGCGGTTGGGATCCGGGCAGGTTCTTCCCTCCGTCCGTCTGGCAGGCGTGGCTGGAAGCGGGGTGTGCTATTCACGCCCACGCAGGGGCCGTCGCTCAAACCGGCGCGTCTGTTTGCAGAGCGAGTACCTCAAGCGCGGCTTCTCCGAAGTCGTCACCCCCAACATTTTCAACGCGAAGCTCTGGGAAACCTCCGGCCACTGGGAGCATTACGGCGAGAACATGTTCTCCTTCCCGGTGGAAGGCCAGACGTTCGCCCTCAAGCCCATGAATTGTCCCGGCCACTGGTGAGGGGGAGCCTTTTGGGGGAGGGGGGGGGCCGGGATTTAAGATCCACTTGCAAATCCAGATCCCTGGATTTGGGGATGGCGAAGAGGGCCCCTTCTGGGAGCTGAGATCTCGTCCTGTGTCTCCCAGCCTCATGTTCGGCCACCGGCCCCGGTCCTGGCGGGAGCTGCCCCTGCGGCTGGCTGACTTCGGGGTGCTCCACCGCAACGAGTCCTCGGGGTCTCTGACGGGGCTGACGCGGGTCCGGCGCTTCCAGCAGGATGACGCCCACATCTTCTGCTCCATAGATCAGGTGGGGAGGCTGGCCGGGGGGTGCCAGCATGGCTGAACCGAGAGCTTTACGCTGCCGTGCCGAGCAGCGCAGGGCTGGGGCCTGCTTGGGAGGGGCCTGACCCCCCCCTCCTCTTTCCAATTCAGCTGCAGGGGGAGATCGGAGGCTGCCTGGATTTCCTGCAGGCCATTTACTCCGTCTTCGGGTTCACCTTCCGCTTCTTCCTCTCCACCCGCCCTGAACACTTTCTCGGGGACCCCCCGCTCTGGGATCAGGCCGAGCAGGTGAGAATGGGGCCCCCAGCCGGGGCAGAGAGCCAGGGTGCGGGGGGGGGGGGGGCTTGGAGCGCCTCTGCCTCCCCGTCCTGCTGCCAGGAGGTGAAGGTGCCCCCGGGAGGCTGGCACAGCCGCTCTGCAGGCCTCTCGCCTCTCAAGGGGGGACCTCTTGCTCAGCCAGGACTGGGGAGCCTCTCCGCTTCCCTACTGACCCCCCCCGGCACCCCTGGCGGGACCAAGGCAGCCTCCCTGCTGGGGGTGGGGTGGGGGTCCTGCGCAGAGGCTCCTGACGGCTCCCCTTTTCCCTCCCAGCTGCTGGAAAAAAGCCTGCAGGAGTTTGGCCAGCCGTGGGAACTCAACCCCGGGGACGGCGCCTTCTACGGGCCCAAGGTCAGTCAGGGCTGGGTTCCTCGAGGTCATTTAGCCCAGCCCCCAGGGTATGTGAGAGATGTTTTGACGGGGGGCTTTCAGGGTTGGGGAAAGGGCAGCCAAAATGCTCCCCCCCCACCCGGCTTTTGGGGGGTGGTGTTACGAATGGGAAGTTGCCCTTCTCAGCCGGCCGGCCCTCCTTCCGCCATCCGAGGCCCTTTGGGACGGGCTCCGGAGGAAGCTGCTTCAGGCATGAGTCACCGTCCTGGGGATGCCTGAACGGCTGAACTGTTCGTGTTTTGGGCGTGGTGCCCCCAGGCCTGCTCTGCCTCCCCCTCCCCCCCGCGGGTTTATGGGGTGACTCTGAGTGACCTCAGCCTTGTAAACCCTCCGGACGGCGGCTTGGCCACC